AGCTACGCTCATTGGAGAATTAAACCATTGCCCTATGCCAGTGTGTGCTAATACAAGCTGCCTAATGTGTCAGTGCTGCCTCTCAGTCTCAGTGGATCTATATTTGATCTGCAGTTTAGTATAATGCTAGGTGACATGTTCCAGTGTGCCTTACGTTGTTAAATACATTTGCTTTAGAGTGGATGGTGAAATGAATGATGCATACCGAATATGATTATGGCAGCCTTCCAGTACCTAAAGGAGGCCCACAAGAAAGCTGTAGAGGTACTTTTTACAAGGACATGTAGGGATAGGAAAGGGGGCTTTAAACTGGAAGAGGGGAGATTTAGATTAGGTGTTAGGAAGAAGTTCTTTACTGTGAGGGTGGTGAGACACTGGCACAGGTTGCCCAGAGGAGTTCTGGCTGTCCCATCCCTGGCAGTGTTCAAAGCCAGGGTGTATGGGGGTTGGAGCAACCAGGTCTAGTGGAAGGTGTCCCTCCCCATGGCAGGGGGTTGGAACTAGGTTATCTTTAAGGTCCCTTCCAATCCAAACCATTCTATGAAAAGTGAGTAGATGTTAGTGTGGATCTTCGCCAGACTGATCACATGATAAAAGGCATTTGTTGACAGTATTGGTCTATCAGACTGGTGCCTGGACAGTTAAGCAAGTTCTTAACTGCTTATTCCTCTCAACTTAGGTGTGTGCAAGGATAGGTGCAGGTAGATGCAAGCACCTATTCCCCTACTCCTGGCTGGCCAGAGCAGGTGCAATCTCAGTCCAGCACTGCCTAGGCTCTGCACTTTAGCAGAGGTTTTTAAGTGGTTTATGGAGGCCATCAGGAGGTTGCCAAAACAAAGGTTTGTATGAGAACCAAGGGATGATCTAGAAGCCCCAGTTATGGCTGAATTTAATTCTGAGCCAGTGCTGCCCTCTGCTGAATGGAATGCTGTTCTGGTTAAATCAAGTACTGATGCTTTTTGTTACTTGAAATTAAGCAAGCAACTGATTTAAAACTCTTCTCCAAAAATATAGCATGTGTACTGTTTAGATGATTTAGTTGAAATCTATGCTTTCTCTAAATACCAACTTTCCTGTTTGTCAAACCCAGACCATGCATAGTTGGGTGGGTGAGGATTTGCCAGCTAGGACAACTACAGCTTCCTCAGGGCCCGGTGAAGGAAACTTGGAAGAGAAATGTAAACAGGTAGACTAAAAACCGTGTGCACTAATCACACTAATCGTGTTTGCAGTCTCAACTCAATTGTCTAGCTGTGTAAAGAGACCTTGACTGGGAGCCTGAAGAAAGCGTGTCTGTCTGAAGTTAATGTTTGCTTTGGTGTGCTTTTCTGTTAATTCTCTTGTTGTAGTCCCACATAAGCAACCAGGGTATGAGATCCTCTTGTTTTATGGGACTGCCAGTGTTGCAAGTCCATTGCCAATGTTTGAGCAACATTTCAATAACTTGAAAGCTGCTTTCACATAGCTCAGGCAACTAGGTGCTTTTTCTGCTTGGTCTGTTGGACCAGCAACAGCAGGCACTTAGGTCACTGACCACATTTCCTTTCTAAAATTGGTGGATTTTTCCAGTTAGCCTTGATCTTTTTGCTTAATGAGCCCAAACCATTTCAAAGAGACTTTACTATAATTCAGCCAAATTGCAGAGGTTACAGATTTTGATAGATCTGTCCAACACCCACTGTCTAGGTAAAGCCAAAACCCAAAAGCTGCTGAAGTATTCGTGTCCCTTTAGCAGCTGACACTGTTGGACAGCATGAATTGCATTGACCTAAGTATGAAACTTTGGGAGCTGCTACCAGCTTGTGGAAACTGATCCCTCACTGCATTGTTATAAGGAAAATAATAAAGTTACATAAGCAATCCTTTGCAAATGATTCAAGAACCTGATGTGGAGCCAGATCCCCTCACTAGCATAGTCAGGCTCTGAAGTCACTGGAGTTTATCCAGCTCAAGCCAGCAGAGAACTGCTTCATTAAGATTAGATATTCTGTAGTGTCTACATTATATATCACTGAAAGGAGATGGATTAGGGTTCCACTAATTGTACAGGGACACAAAGGCAAGGGAAAATTCAGCTTTTACTCCTTCTTCAACTGTGTATCATCAAGCATGAGTGTTGCATGGAGAATGTTTGTACATTGTGTACAGAAATAAGGTTTTATTTTTTGTTTTAAATTTATCTACTCCAGTAATCTAATGAAACAAGGGCCAAGATTTTCAGAAATTGCCAGTCATTTGCAAATATGAAATGTCCTCTGGTTTGTCACAAGCTGAAAATCCACAGATTTAAAATACTTAGAAACATTATCTGTAAAAGATGTCCTTTGATTAGATAAATATGTACTAGGTGAATGAAACTTAGAGGATTGTCAAGTGTGTCCAGGTCTAACTAGATGCTTTTCATTGCTGAAATAAAACTAACTGTATTAAAATTGGGGAGTATTACAAGAATGAAACTTGGAGCATGTTGTAGATGTGTTTTCAAGGTATCATGTACCTTCCACCTTTTGAGGTCAGTAACAGTGTTCTTGATTTTATGGTATCAGTGACCAAGACCTTTGTGTGTTAAACCTTAAGTAGGAGATTATGGCTGAGCTTTCAAATAATGGCTTTTGCCTTGGCTGTGTTCTTTTTAAATAGACCTCAGTCATCCAAATGCACTTCTAGGTTTGTTTTAGGCAAAAGCCATTATTTCACTCTATTTCCCTATAAGGTCTTCAAGAATGACCTTATTTCTAACCCATCAATGGGAGAAAGGTGTATGAAACTCGTTCCCACCTCACTGTACCTTGGGCAGCTTCTGACTTGCCAGTTGATATCTCCAGGTATTCTAATCTCTGAGGAATCTCTCAACCTGGAAATCTTGTTGATCAACCTTCCTGTTTTATTTTGATTTTCATCTCAATATGAGATCTGTTTGTTCTGACACGTAAGATCTGCATGTCCACTTCTAACCATCCAGGATATGCATGCCATTCACAAACAGGAATGTACTTTGGCATGACTTGTCATTTTGCATTCAGTTCAACATGCTGATTGTTGTTCTGAGATCTCGTTTGCAGTAAAATTTTTATTACAGAAGATGCTATGTTGGTGAAAACTTTAAAGTTCTTGGATCAAAATGGACAGAAATACACGTCCTTGTTGGATACCAGGCAGGCTTCATGGCAGAGTTGCCCAAAACTTCAGGTCAGAGGAAGGTAGAATATAAGTATGGAGTTAAGAAAGCCATGGGGAAAATCGTCTCCCCACTTCTTTCATGCTTAGATCTTTAGCGTGAAGTGAATAATGACATACCGTGTTTCTGTTCAAGTCAGTGAGAGTTTTGACAGGAGGCAGCATGATCCATCTGGAATGAGGAGTCTGAAGACCTGTTGTTTGCTGCAGTCCTTGGAAGCCCATTGAGTGTTGTGTGCTGCAGTTCTTTGTTGGCCGTATGAAAAGGATGTTATTTACCAAACTTTCATAGATGGAAAATGTTTTCATATACAAAACTGTGTTACTGCAAATTGGGGCTGATAGCAGAAGGAACAGTGTAGCTTGAATTGCAATTTGTGCACTGAAACAATGAGGTACTTTGATTCCCCTTCACTATGAAAGGGTTTTTGTGTATCCAAGTTCATCATCTGCTACAAGATTCCACTTCACAGGGAACTACAGATACACTTAATTATTGCAACTTTAAAAACATAAAATTCCTTCTTTGAATCAATGAGAACAGTGACTGTACAGTTATCACTACAACAGTGAATTATATTTTTACCCTCCTCCTTTTCATTTTTAGGAAGTTTTCATAGAGGTCAGACACAAGTGTCTTGCTTCTCCTAAGCCTGTATGTAAGCTGTTCCAAAATAAGAGCACTTGTAGTTTTGCTTTTTACTTTGTGATTTAAGCCACTGTTTGGTACCCTGATATGTATTCCCAAGGTTGATGCGTCAATGTCTACACCCCTGTTGGAGAAGGTGGTGCTGCAGACCATCAGAGGTCATTTATCATTGCTTCATTTTTATTGTTCTTTTAATCAATGTGTATATTTTTGTATATTTTCAAGGCAAAGGCAGGGGAAAATAAACAGAATTGGTGCAATCCACATGCGTTGTGTGCTGCTGAGGAAGCCTGGTTAGGAACATGTATATTGATTACTCTTGCAGATCTGCCCTCTGATGTATTCTGCTTCCATTCCCATTTTATTCCATTGTCTTAGTTCATGATATGCAGAGCTGTATGTTTGCTAATGGAGTTAGTGGAGACCCTGTTCTGACAGCTGTTCTATCCAGGCAAATAGGGCAAGCCCTGTCCAGTGAATTTAATTGTAAAATTCTCTATTATTTCAGTGGTACCTTGGTTTTACTTAAAAAACGTAGGGATTCTGGTGGGGTTTAGCCCATCCATGAATGAGAGAATGGTGGTTTTCACCATCCCAGTAGAACTTCCACTTCCAATAGAGTCTTCTGTTGCTGAAACAGCCTCAATGGTAAAACTTGCAAGGAGAAGTGGGAAAACAGAAGCAGGGATTGTCTGTCTGATGAAACAAACTTGTCAGATCCTTAGGAGAAGGAGAGATTGGGTGTGAAGAAAACTAGGCCCATTCACACTTAAAATAGAAAGCATGTGGATGATAGATTGTAGTCCTAGATTCTTCATATTTCTGGTTTTATTTGTTTCCTGTAAATGTTTTCAGTAACTTGTTCAATTGAAATATATGCTGGACAGGATGATGGTAAAATTTTCTCACTAGATGTGAATAGCTGTATAATTCCCATCTGAGAAGTTAATGATGTAAATGCAAAAGTACATTGTAAGCTCTAAGAACTAAAAAGTTAACTATAGCAGTTAGCAATTCATTATGACACAACAAGGAACATGTCAAAAATTGGTCTCTAGTGTGGGAGTCATGTTTTTGAATGAAACATACATTGTTTAGCATAAGGATTGCTACCAACAGAATGCATAGTCTTTTCAAAAATAAAAACTTACAGTCTTTTCTTTCTTCCTTTCAGGCAGCACAAATAGTCCTGATTTCTCTCTTTGAATTGAACACTCCTGAGTTTACCATGTTACTTGGTGCCTTGCCAAAAACATTCCAGGATGGTGCTACCAAGCTCCTGCACAACCACCTCAAGAACTCGAGTAACACTAGTGTGGTGAGAGGCCCTTCTCCTTGCAAACAGCAAAGCCCCAAAGACAGCAGCTCATTGATAAGCTGTTGCAGATGTTCAGTAGCACGAATTATCTGTAACTGTCTTGAAGCAATATGGCAATAGAGGCTTCTATGTGATGTTGCTTTAATGGGAACCATTAAAACAAAACACTCAGTTATTTTTTAACTTAACATAGCCATAACCAGTACATATTGTAGGGGGAAAAGAAAAAAAAAGAAAAGGATAAATTTGTGTTTTTGAAAATCCTGGCAGTAACAACCTTTGGCTAAAACAGAAATCCTGATACCACAGATTTTCTGGGCCTACCACTACTATTGAAATCAGTTATATTGTCTTCTTGGAAGCTCGCAGGATCTACAAGGTCTCCTCAGTCTACACCTAGAGGAGACCTACAAGGTCTGCCCAGACTAAACCTATTACCTTATGCTTTGGTTTTACATGTTGCTTTTGCATATTTTTATTTCTCTGAAGCAATATGTTAGTAGAAGATTTAAGCGTGTATCTGAACCTCTTTTTTCCTCCGAGCAGCAAGGATTAGGGTATTTTTTGCCTTTTTTTATGTGGAAATCTTGTGAAACTTGCTGAAATTTGAACCCTCCTGTCTTCGTGCTTCTACAGGGAAAAGTAGACCTTTGTCTACTCTAGAACTGCAACATTAGGCTTCCAGGCAAATGGAATGGTTTCTCTAGTACCTTTGACTTTGTGTGAACAGAGTCATAATTGGGAGCAATTTCAACTCATTTTGGTGTGGTACAAATGATTGTGGAGGCCAGTGGAAAAATGATAAGTTAGATTACTTATGCTTGTAACAAGCACAATCAGAATGCTTTAGACAATGCGGGAAATAGCTGCATAATTAAATTGCTAAATTGCCAGGATAATGGTTTGCATACTTTGGAGCCTGGCAAAGAGTGTCCAAGAAGCTGGGTAGCCTGGTGGATTGATAAGCCATTTATCTGGTAATACTTGCAGGCTGTGTGTGTTGCAGAGTTAAAATTGCAGGTACTGTGGATTGTAGGAAAGTGCACATGCATTCTTTATCCTCAAAGCAGTACCTTCAAGAACATACTAATGACTACATGAACCATGGCTGCAGATTTTTAGGTCAAGAGCCAGAACCAAAACTGTACTAAGCTTGTCTAGCACAAAGGCAATATTTGGACCTGTTGTCGTATACTCCTGCCTGTGCATTGCAGCGTGTTGCTAATCCCTGTCTTCTGCCTCTGTGCCAGGGTTCCCCCAGCAATACCCTTGGTCGGACTCCTTCCCGGCACTCCAGCAGCAGAACCAGCCCCTTAACGTCACCTACCAACTGTTCCCACGGTGGGCTGTCTCCAAGGTAATGTGACAGCCTAATTAAACCACTTCTACAAAATAGTAAAGGATTTCAACACTGAGTGTGCATTTGCAGAATATGACTCACTTTGAAAGCAAAAACAAGACCAAAAGTTTTCTGGTCTTCTCCAAAGAAACAGGGTTGGAACATGGTAACACATGGTTGGTGATTGACTTCGGTGTTCCAGTCCTCATGTAGTCTGTGTAATCTTAATGTCTTACAGTACCAATTTTCTTTCATAACTAGGCCTTCTCCAGAACTACATTTGTGGGTTCAGTAAAGGTAAAATGAAATGCCAGTATTAGAAATGAGGTGGTGTTGGGGTTGCAAATACCATGAAGTATATGATGACTTTCATGTCAAGAGTTTCAGACTGTCTATATTTTAGGTGTGTCCTTGTGCTTAGTAATTCATCTGACTGTAGTACAGTGCTTGTGCTATTGAGAGAAGTACTGAATTTCCTCTTCCCCTTGTATGCTTTGTGAGGATGCAGAACAAGCAGAGGTGGCGACTGTGTTTCAATGCTGAATACCTCTCAACTCACTCTCCTGGCTGCTTACCAGAAGAATAGTGGCCTGATCCTTCAGACAGCAGGTCTATTACAACCAGGTGTTTTGCTGAAGATGCAGGTGCTACCCTAGAATATTTTGGTCCACTACGAAACCTTTTATTTTGCAAACATGGACACTTGGATATTGGGAATGTTCGTGTTTCACACCATAAAAACTTAGAGCAGAGGAGATGAGAATTTAAACAGTGTGCTCTGGCACTACGGAAATACTGGAGAAAGTGTTAGGTTGTTACTTGGAGAAGCTTTGATTTATGCTGGGAAAGCTTAAAAGCCGCTACTTTTGTTTGCCTGCCCTCTCCATGGGAGGTCATGTCCCTTTATCATGGAAGAGATGGAAACATGGTGAGTGAGGACTGCAGTCTGTAGTCCAATGTAGTAATTTACACTGAAATTTAGCCCTGTCATGATGTGCTAAACCATGTCTGGAGGGATGCTTAGACATGTGAGTTCCCATGTGTCAGGAAAAATATAGGCTTTTAGCCTTTCATAAGTAGTTAAACTAATTCCAGCAGCATATGAGGAACACATAGGGTTTCCCGAGGAAATTTTAAATATCTAAATACATCTTTGTGACCCCTAAATCTGCTGTAATCCAAAACTAGACTGGGAAGTTGCAAGCCAAGGTCAAGTTGCCTATTACAATTTTTTTTTTAACAAAAGTTTCATTAAGAAATTAAGTGGTAGAGTTTCAGGGGAATGGTTCCAACTATGTTGCTTCCTTTTTGACAAGTCTGAGCGTTGTTGCCCTGCTGATTTGTCATGGAAAATTATAAACTGAGATATATCTCCATGTGATTACCTTTTGGCTTTGCTGGCCACATTTGCATGTGGCACTTATTTTATAAATCCATCACCTTTTACCATGCTTTTTGGGTTTTACCATTGGTACATGACTGTGTTTTGCCACTTCACTCACTGCTTTTCAATTTGTCTTTGCATTCTTCTCACCTCTTGATGTCAGGATGCATGTATCGAATTATTGATTAAAGCTTTCAGCCTACACATAATACTGTGTCGCTGTTGTTTTCTAGCATTTTGGGTTTAGGAACTGGAGGGTATTTTCCCATGCGATGATCTCAACAGTTAGAGAGGTCATGTAATGCCAGAGCATTCTGCCATTAAGTTTTCAAGACTGAAACTGCCATTGATGCGGTGGGCCAGGAATTTCCTTTAGAAAAAAATCATTCCTTCAATTTTCTATGGAGCTCTTGGAGATGTTGATCCAAAAATTTAGGTGTCTTTTAAAGAAAGTTGTCCTACTCCCTTGCTGGATTTAGTTATTCAAGGATGATGAGTCAAAGATAATTTTCAATGATAGATGAAAGTGGAAGCTGCTGTAAAAGCCCTTTAAAATAATGAGGGGAGAAGTTCTACTTTATTTTTTGTGAGTGAACTCTGAGCAGCAACAGTAGCTGCCGATTTTTACTGTCTGTAGAAAAGTTGGTGGAAAGCACTGCAAATCAGTGACAGTGAATTCTGATGCTCTGCTGGACTGCATCCTTCTTGAAAATGTCTTGTGTAGCAGTTTGAGAATGGCTCTGACTTAGAGAACAAAGGAATTTAGCTCTGTTTCTAAGAGTACATGTGGTCATCCTTCTTTCAGACAAAAAGCTTTGGAAGATAAGCTAACAGATTGCAGGAAGTAGGGTACACTGCAGAATAGCAGTTGTTAGTGTAGATGCTTCTGTGTCATGTTTCCATTACAAATGCTTGTCGCTTGCTATTCATCGGTGTAAAATGTCACTTTTCTCTCTACAAACTTGGAAAATGAGCACACTCAAGTCATTCTGATAGCAGTGTAAAAGGATCAAGATTCCCACAGTTTCTCTGTGTAGCCCTTCTCTTAAACAAGGCTTGGCTTTACATTTTTGTGGGACTCATTGCTGCTGGATTGTACGAAGGTTGTGTATGCCCATTGCTTCCTAGGGTGCTCCATGTACAGGCCCTGCTTACCTTGTCCATGCCTGTGTCTTACAGACAGCCTGAATGCAGCCAGTTAAAAGATTATCTCCAGTTCTTAATGCCAGTTTTGAAGATTATACTGTTCTTTACATTTTTTTCTTGATGCACAAATTGGAGGAGTCTCCTCTAGAGACATACGTCTATGGGGCTGGGATATGTGTAGAAAGGATAGTTTGGGATGTGTACAAATATAAACATGCTGCTAAGCATAGTTGCTCTTGCATATTACTAATGGTTTGTGGACATTATCCTCAATCAGCAAGGCTTTGTTGATACAGACTTTCTATAGTATGTGTGTATGCCATTGCCCTTGGGTCACATTACTTTTTCCGTAATATTGCCATCAAAACTGAATTCCAGATGACTGATTTTTTGTGTGTGTACTTGTGTGTTCACATATTTGAGCGCTCTGGATAGATTTTTGAATGTTTTGCTTGAATTGGACTTTATGGATGCAAACAGCTAATTTGTCTATCCATATGATAACATCTTCTTAAGTATCCTCTAGTGTTAGTGTCTTCAGAAGGATAACATGCTTTCAGGGCCTTGGGCAGAGTCCTTCCTTCTGCTTTCATTTGCTCCATCCAGTTCTGCTTCATGATCACTAGAACATATCCACTGCATTCGTGAGTTACTTCTGCATTTGTACCTGCTTTTTTTTTTGTCTTGACAGTTTTAATTTTTGGGGAGAGGAGTTACGGAGGAAAGAGGTGTTTTCTGAAGATGAAAAGCAGGGAGGGCACTTGTGAAGACTGAAAATAATAGGAAAAAAACCCCAGACTTCTAACTGAGAAGAATGTTTCCTGGGCAGTGCTCAAATGAATGGCTTGAGTTTGTGTTGGACAGAGAAAATCTTCGGAGATGTAGTGAATGGTTTATTATGACAAAAAGGAAAATACTAAGCTGGAAGTCCTCCAGTGTAAGAATACCATTCTGAATGGCAAATGAACTTCTGTAAACTCAAATGTTATATTCAGGTTATGAATTTTCACCTAGAATTCTGTAGGAATATTTGAAAGAATGGCAAATTAATACATCTGCCCTACTGTTTCTGCCTTTATTAGTAGCTCAAAACCTGTGCTTAGTTCAAATCATTAAAAAAATAAACCAAAAAACTAACAGTTTAGTCCTTCAAAGATCTCTAGAGGAAATGCAGCAAAATGAGGGGCTAACAATTTTACCTGCGTAAGTTTATGTGCTTGGTTTTTTCCCTGATAATAGAAAATACCATTAAAAATAAAATTTTGGTATTAAGTTGAGCAAGGCATGGAAAAAGAATTAAAATAAGCCACCCACCTTATACAGTAAGAACAAGCCTGCATTTTTTGGTGGCCTGTGTGCAGGTAGGTGAGACCTGAGCTTTGAGACTTCTGGTCAGGAGTCTGGGTGTCTGGTGTATTTCTGTATTAGTTGCATGTAATAGCTATGTTTTTTGATTGCTGGTTGACAAATAAATTTCTTGACACCACTGTTCAGAGGAGTTCTTTCAACTGGCTTTGCTGCTGTTTGCAATTCTTGTCTTGATTGCTGCTTCCGATCTTGCAATATCTTTCACTTTCATATATACAAATGTGACTTTCCAAGATAGTGTGCTTAATAGAAACAAAGCAGTGTCCTGGATACTCCACCAGCTCAAGCATCTGTATTCTCATTTAGAAGATGATTTTGAAAATCTGTGAAGCATAAAGGGAACAGGACAAATGCAAAGGTTAGACAAATTGACACAGGGTCGGATGCCTTGACCCAAAAGTGCAGGATCAAACAGCAACCAGAAGAAGCTTGTGGAATTTTGAGAGATCTGAAATGACTTAGAGGCTGGTTTCATCCAGTCTTTCCAAGTTTTTCTGCTGAGAACTGGTCCGAGTCCCCCAGTTTACGAGATAAGTTTTCATTCTGGACTGATTTCCACTTGCTGCATATTTGGGGTCAGTTGAATCTGGTAAAATAGAATCAGATCTCAAGCCCTGCAAAGATGTGCTGGTTGTGTGGGGCCTGATTGCAGGCTCTTTTAGAGGCACCAGAAGCCAAACTTTACAAGGTACCCAACTTTACTTTCTTCTGGGGATATCCTATTGCTCACAAGTACCTGCTTAGAGTTTGAATACAGATGTGTGGTCAGGGATTGCTTCCTTAGAATATATTGAGTTGTTTATAGAAGCTATATCCATTTTATAAAATTTACGTATAGTAGAAGCAGGGACTATTTTAGTGTGAACTGTATCATTATGTCAGGAATAAAAGTGGAAATGAATAACAAAGGCCAAAACAATGACTCATGAGGCTCAATGGAGTATTCTTGTTTAATTTTGTTTCTATTAATTTTTTTCTCTCTCTCCAAGGCAGCATGACAGCACTAAGCCACTCAGATTATAGTTTCTTTTTTTTCTCCCTCTCCTCTCTCTGTTTTTTCTCTTTCATTTCTCCTCTGATTGCGGCAGTCGGTTCTGGGGTTGGAGTGCAGATGGGCTGTCGAAGCACCCCCCTCCCCTTTCTCAGCCTAACTCCATCCCCACTGCTCCTTCCCACAAGACTTTCAGACGCTCTTACTCTCCCAGGTAACAAGCTACCTGTTAAACCAACTTGTCTGAGGTGTCACAGTATTATTTACCTTTCACACTGTAGGATTTGTTCATACATGGGAAATGATTTGCAGAGCCTTTGGCTGGAAAAGTAGAAGAGGAGATGATAGTTTTCGGAGAGCAGAGGTGACAGGCAGCCACTTGCTCGATGCTCGGGGAAGATGTGGCATGCAAGTGCGGGGCGGGGGAAATAGTGTTTTTTTTTCCAGACTTCCTCCCTGCAGGAAGCAAGAG